ATGCGATGGCCTCCACCCTTTTGTGTCAGGATGCACTTGTTCCTAGTAGCTTCTTGTTACTAGTAGCGATGCACTTGTTACTAATAGCGAAGCACTTGTTCCTAGTAGCGAAGGCACTTAGTAGCTGTTGTTATTGGTCCACAGGTCCGAACATTTTCTGAGTGCTTGCTGTTTGCTCGTGTGCCTTTTGGCGCTGCTGTGGTTTGCTTGTGTGCCTTTTGGCGCTGCTGTGGTAAGGTGGAAGTAATTAGCACTAATTTTAAACTAAATGGGAATTTAACTAGAACTAACTATAATCAAGTTAGAAGTAATAAGAATTGAGTCAACATTAGATAAAGTTATATCAAAAATAGTTCGAATCAATCTCTTTTTAATTGGACAGACATACATATGATTTAAACAATCAAGTAGAATGCAATTAGAATAATTAGAATTCAGTTAGAAGTAATTAGAACTAAGTATGAACTTATCAAAAATAAGCTAAAAGCGACTCGAATTCAACTAAAACTAAATGAAATGTAAAGTAGAACTAAATCGAGATTAAATAAAGCGTAAATTAGTCGTAATTAGAATTAATTAGGATTAGATTAGAGGTTGGAATTAAAATAAACATAAAATAGAAGTCGGCTCGAATTATAACATTGTTTAGAGTTAAATCGGAAGTATTTTACATAAGTAGAATTGAATAAGAACTATGTTAGAATCAGAAAACTTTAGTTGGATTTATCGTAGAGGCGGACTGAATCTATTTGGAATTAAACCAGGACTAGTTAGAATTAACGCACAATTAAATTAGATTGAGTAAGAATAATGAGAACTACATTCCAAATTAACTGAATTAAAAAACAACAAAATTACAATAAAACAACACAAATTAGGCGTAAATTAGAAGTAGTCAGACTGAATATAGTTAAATTTGTTAAATTAGAATACTTAGACTTCATTTAGAATTAGCTAGAATTGAATTAGAGTTTTTAGATTTAGATTAAATCAATATTAAATAGCAACCATTAGAATTAAGTTTGAATTAAACTGACATCAACTCATTGTTTTAAAGGCCGCTCTGCTCTCCAACCTACTAGCGATGGCCTCCAGCCTAAGAGCGATGGCCTCCCAACCCAATAGCGGCAATGCATCCTTTTGCCCTTAAGTCCTTAGCACTTTGCAACTGTTTTTCTAAAATCGCTGATTTGTTCTGATTTTGGTCAACGGCACTCAGACTGACTCCCAAAAAGCTGCCTTCTTCCCAAAAGGAGTCGCTGTTGCTACGTGCTGCGTGCGCTGAGGTGTTCTCTGTGCACAGGTGTGCAGATATCGTAGACAAGGCAGGGGGCCTGGCAGGGCATGTTTCCTTGTTGTCTCCTTTTTGTTTGTTTTGTGTTGAATGATTTTCTCCTCAGTCTCAAATTTCGCTCTTGTTCTCTGAGTTTCCTCTACTGTTTTCATTGGATGGAACTACCATGAACCATTTTTTGGGAGAAGTGAAGTGAGAACCAGTTGGCCACGGCTGTAAACGGAAGGGCGCCCGTGGCAAGGCCAACACCTCTGGCCATGTGACCGAAGAATCCAGCATTTCGGCTTGTCGAAAGTCTCAGAGCTGGTGACCAAGTGCGACACTTTCGATTCTCGAATGGGCCATCCTGTTTCCATGGCTCTTTTCCAAAACATACATTTAACAAAAAACGAGAGAGTTGAGCACCAACTGCATTTGAGGCAAAGAAACATGTGGACTCTTGGGTGAGATGCTGTCATTGGTCCAGAGCTGAGCTGAAACCCGTTGCTAACACCTCACCAGGTTGCACACAAACTCCTTTAGTGACTCGAGGTGTTTTCGTTTCCTTGCATTGTCCTTCACATTCTCCTGTTTTTTCAAAGAAAAATGTTGCCAACCGAATTCCGAAGAGCGATGACCTCCATCTTTCATTTCAGGCTTTAATGCGTGGGGACTTCAACAGATCCAGCTTCTGTGAGATGATGAGTTCTGCCCACGCCTGCTCTTCCGCCATGGCTCGGTGCACAGCCGGCGAACGGTTATACCAAATGCGTGAACACGAGAAGATAATAGCTTCTTGTTACTACTAGTAAGGCACTTGTTACTACATGTTTTTCATATTTTCTGAGTCTTTTTGGTTTGCTCTCTTTTCTTTTTGTAAAACACAACTTGTGAACTCGACACTCGATGCAGAAATCAGGAAGACTTCCTCTCTTCCGACGCCGTGGCGGATTTGGCCTTCGGACACTGCCAACGATTGAGGCCCAAGACCTGCCGCACCGGGCACAGCCCATTGTTTGTCACGTTGTTCCTAATAGCTTCTTGTTCCGTTCGCAGTAGTAAGGCCACGAGCCCCTTGTTACGAGCAATTTGCACTTACTCTTTCTTTAGCCCGCTCCCCCTCCTCCCTACTTAATTATGTAGGCGCCTACTCAATTAAGGAAGAGGCTCTTTTCTCTTTGTCCCATCGGTTCTTTCTTAGCGTTGATGCGCGCTGATGTGTTTTCTTTTTTTTCACCGACGTAGAGTGAAGGACACAAGCCAAGTCTTCCCCACCCGACAAATGAAAACGTCATATCGAGAGATCTTTTTCAAAGTGAAGCACCCATCTGGGCAGGCAGAGTCCAATATACTGCCAGCCTCAGCCTTATGACAGTCTCATTAGTCCTTCCTTTGACAGCACAGCTTTCTGTGAGTTGGCTGCTCGTTTTCTCTTTATTGTCTTCTTCAATCTTCCTGTTTCTTTTTTTCCGTTTCATTATAACAACATTTGCTTGGTCGTGTCATTTGTTGGGTTTACAGCTTAGGCGCTTCAAAGGTGTGTTAAGCGCTGCAGTCAAAGGCAGTGAGACGGTGGACACCCTTCGTGGCTTGGTGCGGTTTATTCTTGATACTAGTAGGAAGGCCAGGAGCGCCCCTAGTAGCTTCTTGTTATTTATATACCTTAACTCTAGATGGTCTCCAACCCAGTGGCGATGGCCTCCAACCTAGAAGCTTCTTGTTAGATTCTAGAGAAATACTTTTTTCCTTTTGTTTGTCCTTTCCTTGTTCTGACATTCAGACCTTTCTTTCCCTCCGTTCCTTCTTCCATCGGTCTGCTTTTCGAGCGAATCGATCAAGTTCCGATTCTGTCTCGCCTCTGGACAAGGTGAGTGCTACATGTTGGAATTGGAACAGAAGTCCCATGCTGAGTCATCAGAGTAAACGCATCGAATATACTAGTATACTTCAGTCTTGTGTGCCACATGTGCTTTTGGCTTTGCTGAGCTTCGGCTGAAATTGGCAAAGCACGTTTGCGCCAGCCGGCTGAAACTTGCCTTGTAGGTCCACTACAACAACCTCTCCTCCATTGCTGGCAACCGAGTCTTTCGAACAAGCCGATGAAACTGAGCAACCGACCGAGTCGGAACAATAAGCTACTAGGAACAAGTGCCACGCTACTAGGAACAAGTGCCTTACTAGTAGTAACAAGAAGCGAACGTAGAAACCATAAGCCACCTTCGTAGCCTAGGCCCGCTTTGGAGGCTCACTTTGGGTTGTGCCAAACACTTGCATGTCACAGCAGAAGAGGATCTATCGAAGCCGCATTACTTGACGCACAAGCTGCACATGGTGCTCAATATTCACTGGGATCCAACATTTGTGCGCACCTTTACTTCACTGGATGATCAAAAGCTGAAGAATGGCCATCGCTCTTAGGTTGGAGGCCATCTCTTTTAGGTTCGAGGCCATCACGATTAGGTTGGAGTCCATCGCTCTTAGGTTGGATGATCAAAGGGTGTGTTCGAAATGAACGGCCCGAACGTTTCTCCACACGAAGCACCACACTTCCACACAAAAGGCAAAGCGAGCCACGCAAACGCACACACAGAGAGACCATCACCGTGACACCACTACACTACCATCAGCAATGCCCCCACCTACTTGGCTCGTCTTGCGCTTTCTTCGTAGTGCAATCCTACTTGTCTTCCAGCTTGCAATTTGCCAGGAACCCTCTCATGCGTTTTACTTGGGCATTCTTGCGGGTTTAGTTCAAAAGATTCGTTCTTTTTGTCTTGTTTCCGGCCACCAGGCGGAAAGAAACGCAAAGCGAAATGGGCCTTCAGGCATGTGAAATCTGGGCAGCAGCTGTTTTGATGGCAAATCCAAAGGTAGAAGGTTTTGGACTCCAGCCTCTTGACTACCAATGACCCTGTATGACCCTGTATCCCTCAAGGGGCCCATGGCCGGTTTTTGGGAAGTCAATCATTTTTAACGACAAACTCAAGCAGGCGTCTTCAACTTGTCTGGTTTGAGGCGTGCAACCTCCCCAAGCAGCGTTTCAGGAGGCGGCAACTTGCGTTTGCTGAGACTCAAAGCTGTGCAATTCGATTGGTGAAACTTGCTACAGCAAACTGTTTGGAGGCCATCCCTGTTAGGTGAAACTTGTTTGTTGAGGCCTTTCGCACCGTGTTGCCGTCTGCTTTTCGTGCCAAGGGGCTCCAGTTGTCCAGCCCTCGACCCGGAGCTGTCCGTTCTCGTCAGGGCCCAAACACACCGTCACCGTATTGGTGTTTCTCCAGCTTCTTGTTACTAGTAGCGATGCCCTTTGCTACAAGTAGCTTCTTTCTTGTTCCTAGTAGTAAGGCCAGGAGCTACTAGTAGCGTCCTTGCTCCTAGCAGTAATGCCATTTGAGGCAACGACCTGAATGTATCATTGGTGCCCGGATGCTCGCTTTTGTGAGAACACAGAGTTCCTTTTTTTAAGTCATGGATAGTTGATTAGGTTGGAGGCCATCGCTATTGTAAAAAGAGGAAGAACGGTCTAACAGAGTTTACTAATAGGTTCGCTACTAGGAACAAAGGGCATCGCTACTAGGAGCGATCGGACGCTACTAGGGGCTCCTGGCCGTACTAGGAACAAGGACGCTAATAGGAACTTCATTGAGTTCGAGAGGAAACCTTCAATGGCCGCTGGGTTGGTGTTTCCACCTGCGTCCAGTGCTCGAAACAAAAATCCGCTTGGGCAATGGCTGCGCCATCCACAGAGGCCTTTGATCCCTTGAGCCAGATGTTTCAAACTGTCATGTGCCACATTCATCTTTCACACATCTCAGTGCATTTAACCTGCTATTTTCAAGCGATGTGATCTGACCACATTTCATCCAAAGGTAGCAGCACTTCTCGATGACGAGATCCGGAGCGTCTTCACAGAACTCGAGCAATGGGGTGAGTGTGCAGGATGCTCAGGTTGACGGGCCTGAGATGTCCTGAGTTTTGTTTTGTGATGCTACTAGTAGCAAGGTGTAGCAACAAGTTACTTGTAGTAAGGTGCCTTGCTACTAGTAGCGTCTTTGCTAGTAGCAAGGTGCCTTGCTACTAGTGGGGAAGACTGTGTTCTTGAGAGGCCGGCTTGTACGTGCACGGCTCCACGATTTTCTTGAACAACTACATCCCGAATGACCTAGAGAATGCCTTAGATTCGACATGAAAGAAGAAGGTCCAGAAGTCCAAGGAAATGAAAGAGGAAAAAAAGACAAGAGCACAACGAAACATATAACTCATATATAGCTATATAATAGAAAGAAGGGCATCGCTACTAGTAGCTCTTGGCCTTACTATGAGTAACAAGAAGCTACTAGTAGCTATAAACCAACAGCCATTTTACTCATCAAAGGAAGTTTAGTGTGCAAAACTTCCGTGTTACGGACATTCAACAGCTGTTCAATACACCACTCATCATACACCACTCATCATACACCACTCATCATACACCACTCATCATACTCCACTCATCATACACCACTTATCATACACCACTCATCATACACCACTCATCATACACCACTCATTATACGCTACCTATCATGCACCACTCATCATCCAGTTAGCTCTAGTTTCAAAAGCTCTAGCTCCAGTTAGCTCTAGTTTCAAGAGCTCTAGCTCCAGGTAGCTCTAGTTTCAGTAGCTCTAGCTCCAGGTAGCTCTAGTTTCATAGCTCCAGTTAGCTCTAGTTTCAATAGCTCTAGCTCCAGTTTACGTGGCAGGCACAGCACTTTGTGAACCTCCATGTGCAGAGTTCGTGGCAGGCACAGCACTTTGTGAACCTCGAGGTGCAGATTTCGTGGCAGGCACAGCACTTTGTGAACCTCCATGTGCAGATTTCGCGGCAGGCGCAATACAAAATGCATTTTCGAGAGATAGCGGACGCACGAAATGCTGTGGCTTCAATAGATAGGGTGGCTCCGAAGCTGGCAAGTCAAGCTTTGCGGACCGACGTGTGCGAGACGGTCTCGGGTCATGCTCGGATCATGCTCGGAATCAACCCTCCATTGTGGTTAGAGTTTTCACTTGTTTCTTGAAGTGCAGATTTCATGGCAGGCGCAGCGCTTTGTGAACCTCGAGGTGCAGAATTTGTGGCAGTTGCAGCACTTTGTTGTGAACCTCGAGGTGCAGATTTCGTGGCAGGCACAGCACTTTGTGAACCTCCATGTGCAGATTTCGTGGCAGGCACAGCACTTTGTGAACCTCCATGTGCAGAGTTCGTGGCAGGCGCAGCACTTTGTGAACCTCCAAGTGCAGATTTCGTGGCAGGCACATCACTTTGTGAACCTCCATGTGCAGAGTTCGTTGCAGGCAGCACTTTTGTGAACCTCCATGTGCAGAATTCATGGCAGGCACGGCTGCAGATTTCGTGGCAGGTGCAGCACTTTGTGAACCTCCATGTGCAGATTTCGTGGCAGGCGCAGCACTTTGTGAACCTCCATGTGCAGATTTCGTGGCAGGCGCAGCGCTTTGTGAACCTCCATGTCCAGATTTCGGGGCACGCGCAGCACTTTGTGAACCTCCATGTGCAGATTTCGTGGCAGGCACAGCACCTGGAGAGCTGGAAGCTGAGAACTGGCGACTTTGTAGTGCAACTTCTAGTACGCGGAATGATCTGGCGGGGTGGAGGCTGAGAACTGGTTGTAGTACAACTTTAGTGCGCGGAGTATCTGGGGAGCTGGAAGCTGAGAACTGGCGACTTTGTAGTTCAACTGTAGTATGCGGAGTAACCTGTGGAGGTGGAAGCTGAGAACTGGCGACTTTGTAGTCGAACTTTAGTACGCGGAGCAGAAGCTGAGAACTGGCGACTTTGTAATACAACTTTAGTACGCGGAGTAGGCTGGGGAGCTGGAGGCTGAGAACTGGCGACTTTCTAGTATAATTTCGATTGCTGTCCGTTAAGACAAGCTATCACATCATAGTTACCGTCTAGCTCCAGTTAGCTTTGGTTTCAACAGCTCTAGCTCCAGTTAGCTCTAGTTTCAATAGCTCTAGCTCCAGTTCGCTCTAGTTTCAATAGCTCTAGCTCCAGTTAGCTTTAGTTTCAACAGCTCTAGCTCCAAGGTGGCGCTGTGTTGGTCAAAAGTGCGGAGCGCATGCGTCTGGCTGAGGGACACGCATGTTGGCTGCTGCAAGGTGTTCCTGAAAGATCGTTCGGTGTGTACTGTTGTTGTGTTTTGCAAGCGCTGGTTTTCTACATTCCGCGGCTGTTTTGGTTGATGAAATCGAACGCAGCACTGGTTGCAGATGATTATTTTGTTAACAGGTCAGTTTGTACTTATGATTACTTACGGTTGAAGTTTTGGCACAGTTCATACTGACAGTATTTGGTTGCATTTTTGCATGACAGGTTTTACATGCCCATTCGGATTCCATGCGCTCCGATGTGTGGTATGAAAGGCCTGCCGCCACTTAAGAATGCCACGGTGGGATGTGTGTTGGTGTGGACCGCATCCTTTGCTAGCCGTGCTGGCCGGATGTGTGTTGGTGTGAGCCGCATCCATATCGTTCCGCAGCCGGGCGGGTGTATGTTGGTGCCCAGCACGGAAGACTGGATTCCCACAGGACTGGATGCACGCGCGGACACAAAAAGGCGTAGGGAGACTGGAGGAAATTACTGGCCGGGTGTCTCTGTCTCTCGAGTCTTTCTGTTCTTTTTTTGTCGCTTGAACTTCTTGAGTGACGCTCCTCTCGGAACATTTGCGCGAGAGGATGACCGAGTATGGTTGCTGGCTGATGTTGATGGTGATTTTGTGTGATACACCCATGAGAAATACAGTGCGAATTGTTTCTCAAAGGTTGGGTGCTGGCAATGGGTCTTCTGGCACTCCTGGAGAATTCCAAAGACAGAATCCTTCAGGGCTGCATCAACAGGAACCGGTGCTTCCCCCTTCTTTGGCCGCTAGCCCTTGAGTTTGGCGCTGCTTTCGCTTTTCCCTTTGCCTTTGCAGCAGATCCCTTTCTGGACTTCCCGGATCCTTTGGTATCATCATCTGCTTCCTGCTTTGTCTTCGGAGCTTTCCTCTTCTTATTGATGCTTTTGCTGTCCTGACCATCTGGCAGCAAAGCCTTTTGATCCTCCGATTCTTCGACTTTGGCTTCGGCTTCTTGCCCTGACTCTTAACCTCCTGGTTTGTCTCTTTGTCTCCATTCTTCGACTCTGGTGCCCCAACGGCAGCAGGAACAGCCTCAAGATCTGGAGAGTCATCCGCAAAGCTGTTTGCTTTCGCCGATTTCATTTTTGTCAATCGCTTCAACCCCGTGCTTCGCGTTGCAGAAGGTGAAGGCTTCACATCGTCATCGCTGGCAGCAACCTCGCCAGCTTTGGCATCATCCTTGCCCTTGGCTTTCTTGCTCTTGCGCCCTTCAACCTTCTCTGCTGCTGATCGGCCTTTCTTCTGGACATGATTTTTGACAGCATTTTCTTTCTTAGATTGTTTCTGTTCCTTGGCCATCTTCTTGGCATCTTTCTTCTTTTGCTTCTCTTCTGCCCTGTCTTTCTTCAAGCGGAATTGCTTCCGCCGAGTGATCCCTTCACGCTCCGGTATCGTATTCCCATCCTGTCCAGTCTCTTTCACCTGAGGGCGCTAAACCGCATTGTAAAACAAAACCCACGCGGGGAACATGTCAAACATAGTTAAGCATACATCAATGCATGTGAGGCCAATGGTTTCGCTCCAAAACCCTTGCCTCCTGCTCCCGTGTTTTGTCGCATGCGTCCAAAGCCCTCAAGGTTTGCAAGGCCACATCCGTGTTAAGTAGATGAGACGGGGAGCATGGCAGCTGCGTCTCATCAGCAGGGGAAGCCGAAGGAGCTTGGGAATCTGATAACACCGTTGTCACCTCCGCTACTGCCATCCCCAATGATGTGCCGGATGAAGATACGCTTGAAATCAGCAAGGAGGCTCACAGCAGTGTTTGTGCATGGGCTTTAGGAGTCTGTCCATATATGTTTGTTTCCTGGATGGGTAACCTTGAGCCCCCTCATAAGGGATCCAAAAAGTGCATCGATACGATACGATATATCTACAAGGCACACTTCTTCTCATTGGCCAGCACGCTTTGAGCAGCTTGGCTAGGTTGATCTCGTTCATGCTGCCTTGGCTGATTAATCAGGTATATCATTATGGCTGATTAACCAGGTATATCAGTATATAATGTTTATGTCCCTGGTAGTTATTGCACGATGGTAGACAGGGAAAAACATGCACATGCCGTTTGTTCCAAAATACATCATGTACTTCTTCAGTGCTTGCATGATCGCGTTCATTTTGAGCGGAACTTTGGTACTGGCTGGTGCCTTCGAGGGGTGTTTCTATGCCTCCTCGCCAGCCACAGGACAAGCAAAAGAAAGTCATCGTGTCACGGGTCCACAAACAAAAACAACACTTACACTGCGCAACACCAAAGCACTGTTGCGCCACAGATTTCGCAGGGGCCCGATCAAGCGTTTGATCTTGTTCGCTTCATGGACTTCACGTCATTGGGTTCAGTACACTTTAGCATCTTCCCGAAAAACAACTTGTCCATCATCAGCAGCACATCGACAATGAAAAACCCTGATTGCACTTTGGGGAATTTGTGGAGGAAGGGCTCTATCCAAGGACTGTTGAGCCTTATATCCTCAGACGACGGCCTGACCAACTCATCCAATTGCACAAGAGCCCCACCAGCCCAGTCAGGGCCATTCAAGACCTGAACCACGCTGAATGGTAGCTTCGCCTTCATGTCAATCGCAACCTGTTTGACATCTGCCTCGCCTCACTCGACTTTGCCGGCCCCTGCAGCGGAAAACCAGTACTGCTCAAACATATATAGAAACTAGTGCCACTAGATGCGCTTCAGAACACTAATGTTGTCACGCAAAATATCGCAAAAGTAACTGCGTTCTAGGCGCTGACACTTTTTCCAAGTCGCAGTCGCTCCTTCCATCGGTCCCAAAACCCAAAGGAAGTTTTTTTGGCAGCAACTGTTTTGAGCACAAACGTGGCTGCATGGTAAGCAGCAGCGTTGGTTGAAGCAAACTGCAGCACTGAAATTCAATAATTTCCTCTGCGCACACTTCAGCTCAGGACCCTGCCTACGCCCAAAGAGAGGCGCACGCCTGTGTGGAAGTGAGATCGAGGAAAAAAAGTTGCACAT